TGAACCTTTTGTATGCACATTGATATGAATAGAAGGCACATGCTAATATCCTTCCTCTTTCTATTCTAAACATTTAATTATATATCTATTCTATTTTAAGTAAAGAAGAAAATATTCTATTTTAAGTGAAAAAGAAAATATAATATAGCTCCGCTACAAAGAGCGGTGGTGAAAAATTTTCTGAGAATTTTTTATATAATTTTTCAGAACTTTTCATAAATTTCGGAATTTTTCACAAATTTTACATAATTTTATAACATTTTAGAAAATTTCTCGGATCTGAATTGAAACACTTCTCAGAAATGTTGAGAAAGTTTTTTATTTTTCTTAGAATTGTATACAGGCCAAAAGTTTGTGTGAAAACACTTTCTAAAAATTTTATAATCAGAAAATTTTTTTATCATTTAATTATAATATATATCTATTTTATTTTAAGAAAATATAACATACATTGAGAAAAAAATGCTGTTGATTCAATTAAAGTCTATATTATGAGCTGTCACTAACATAAGTGATTAATTCATGTATATTGTTATTGATATAAAGGCATAAATTATTATTTCAATAATCAAGGCCTTTATGTTAGTGATAGTCCGTAATATAGACTTTAATTAAATCAACAGCATTTTTTTCTCAGTGTAGCTCAGCTACAAATACTCTGGCGAAAAATTTTCTGATCATTTATATAATTTTTCAACATTTTTATGTAAATTTCAGAATTTCTCTGATAAATAAATTCTATGTAATTTTATAACTTTTTAAAAAATTTTTCTTTTTGAAATAATCTATATAATTTCCGAAGAAATACAAAATCTAAAGAAGTTTAGGTACTTTTTTTTAATTTTCATAAATTCAAAATATGAAAAATTCTTAAAAATATGCGAATTTTTTCACCAAAGCCGACTTCCTATTACTTCATAGCTGTCGAATTATGTTCGCTAGGATACGCAAGTGTATATATGCATATATAGTTAAGGTAGACGATAGAAAGAAAAGAGATAGAGAGAAAAAAAAAGAGGAGGCGAGAAAGAGAATTATGCATCGGACCAGTAGAGAGATCATTAGCGAAAAAAGCGTCTCGAAGCGTAAATAATAAAAGCGCGCTCAAACTCGCTCGTTATTTGAAAATCGCAGTGTGCTGCGATTATGCGAAATCACGTAAACGCACTGTGCCCCTCGTGTATACACACCAATTTCAATAAAAGCGGCAGCTCTTGTCTTGTAGGAAACACCATCGCACTTGTACCATTTACCTTTCTACATTCAGTTTCAAGTAAAGCTGGAATAAGCGAATGCCTTCAAAAAATATATCGGAATCTTTCGATAAATAATCATTCCTCGATTTAACGATTTAAAAAAAGTTCTTTTGTTATTGCATACATATTTCAATTGCAAAATTTGAAATATTTCAAAAATTTTTCATGAAATTCTTCAAAATGTATAAATATATCCAGGAAATATCAAAAGTCCCGGGAAAAAAAGTTATATGGCCATATTTTATATATAATTATATATAAAACATTTTTTTCGGGGGTTTTTTAAATATATACATTCTTTTTTTTATAATATTTGTTTTTATAATTTTTATAATATATAGCATTTAAAATATTTTAATGCAATATTTTTAAATATTTTATAAATATTCACAAAATATTTTTGAAATATTCCAAACAATTATTCATATAAACAATTTTTTTGTACCGAGTGGGTCATATTCAAATAAATGAAAAGAAAGAGGAACTTATAAGACATAGTTTATAAAAAAAAGATAGAGAAAAAAAGTACTTATGCCCATATTCAGATCTTGTACTTAAGGCTTCCTTAAATTTATCTTTAGATGCTCAGTAGCCAATGAAATTCGTAGAGTATCTGAAGATAAATTTAAGGAAGCCTTAAATATAAAGCTTGACTATGAATATGGGTATTAATCTCTGTTCGAAAAGGATGAACGTGGGAATTTGAGAAAAAAGAGAAAGAGAAACGGCGCGATTCTCTACAACTTCACGTCGTTATACATGCGAGAATGAACCTAACCTTACCTAACCTTCATTGTCAATAAACGCGTCCCTAAAAGGATAGGTAAAAAAGCGAAGGAGTCATCAGTTCCAATTTTTATCTATCAAATCGAGTATTCGTACAAAAAAAAAAGGAAAATCTTAAAGAAGAAGGAGAAAAACAAATGGATACGTGATATTTAATTTTATCATTTAATTCTGCGTAAAGTTAAAGGAAAAGATTTGCTGCCTTTTAACGGCAGTCCATCCTTTTCGTAAATAAATTAATTTTTGTAAAAGGAGAGGAAAAAACGCGAAGAAATGATGAACGAGAAGATGATGGATGCACGAAGGCGCGAGAGAGAGCTGATCGGATTACGCGGAGTTCCTGAGGCTTGGAGTAGATCCCCGACGCAAATCGAATAGTATGTAGACACGATAGATACCTTCATTAAATAGAACGTATAGAACTTTTACGACATATTAGTAGCTTGATCGTTGCTGTATTCACTTGGATCGTCGATCCTGACAACAGCATCCACCGAGAAAGAATTAACTCTGAAAACGATCACTTGTAATTTGTATCCTTTGAGGTTATGATTGATTCTGTTACGTTATTATTAATTCATTACTCGCGTGGAATGTCCAGAGTATCCCAGCCTTATAAATTCACTAAATGTATGAATGTTATTTATACACAATACACAATTTAGTATAAATTATTTCACAATTTAAAAAAAATGCATTTATCTTAATTTAAAGGACAGAATATAACAAATGTTATGGATATTCCATATTTCATAATTTTAAAAAATTGAATTTATCTTTATTTAAAGAATGTAGAGAATATGATAAATTTTTTATATTTATTTAATTGTGAATTATTGTAGGATGTCCAGGATACTCCAACTTTATAAATTCAAATATATGAATGTTATTTGTATTCTTTATTATAATTATTGCAAATTTTTCACAAAAAGAAATTGTATTTATTTTTATTAAAATAATATATAGAATATAATAAATATTTATATATTTGTAAATCAAAGAGAACAATAAAGAATGAAATATAATGTTGGAGTGTCAGAAATATATCATATAAGTAATTAAGTTAAAAATCATGCGAGTAATGTAAGATTAATACATTAACTTACTAAATTGAGTTCTAAAAATTTGAATAGATTATACTAGTAGTTTATATTAAAACAATACATCAACAATACAATGTGACATAATATTGAAGTTTCGATTTGTTATTGCATTTGCAGTAGCTCAGATGAGGAGGACGAAGATTTGAGTAAACATAAGAACAATATTTTACTAAAGGATCGCAAGAGGAAGAGACATGATGCTAAAAAGAAGGTACTGGATTAATTACAGTCAACATTTAATCAAACAATAATATTCAATTAAATACAGTGAATGCTAAAACTTTTCAGCCAACATATAATTTTATGACAATTTTTGACAGTCTTTTTTCCAATTTATAAGTTAATAAAATTTTTGTTACAACTGTTGCAAAATTCTTCAATACGATTATTTCTTGCTTTTGGTTTCTTATAAATCTAAACCAATCATATTGAAGAATTTTATAACATTTTTAGTTGCAAAGCTGCTTCTTTGCTGAACACAGCCAATATTTTTAATACTAGATTATATTAAATTATACTTGTATACTAGATTTTTATTTGTAAAAATTTTTTATCTAAGCAATACAATAAAATTACTTATTTAGCCGAAAATTTTTAGCAGCCAGTAGCCAGTATGTGGAAAAATAATAATAATAATATTAAATGTTTAGAAGAGCAAGAAACTGAAGAAAGAGAAGAAGGCAAGAAAAGAGAAAAAGAGGGAAAAAAAGGCAAAGAGAGAAGCGAGGAGAGAGAAGAGGAAGAAAAAGAAAGCGAAGAAAGAAACGGACAGTAGTAGCTCTGACGATAGTGATAGCAGCAACAGCAACGATGAGGAGGTCTGGGTAGAAAAAACTACCATTCTTGATAAGCCGAAGCCAAAGAAAGGCTCGAGTTCGGATGACAGTGGAGACGATGGTATGGTTGGACCCGCCCCGAAACCGCACGTGACTCTCTCAGCCAAAGATTTTGGTAAGGCCTTGCTACCAGGCGAGGGTGCAGCAATGGCAGCTTACGTCGCCGAAGGAAAACGCATACCCAGGAGAGGTGAGATCGGGCTAACATCAGAGGAGATTGCGGCGTATGAATCTGTCGGTTACGTCATGAGTGGCAGCAGGTAATGCATATCAAATACGTAGAAAATTTTGATTTCTTTAATTTCTACTTTATAGAATGATAATAAATTTTCAACGTCTCATACTGAAAGTAGTTGATTATCCAAATATATAAAATTATATTCGACTCACTATTCCAATCGTTACTAATGGAAGTTTTCGATAATCTTAAATACCAAATAAAATATAAAACAAGATATTTTTTTACTGCTTGTCAGTTAAACATCCTCCAATCGTTACTAATGGAAGTTTTCGATAATCTTAAATACCAAATAAAATATAAAACAAGATATTTTTTTACTGCTTGTCAGTTAAACATCCTTTATTTTTATTTAAATAATTTTGATTTTAATCTTTTTCTATCTTTTCTAAAGGCATCGTCGCATGGAAGCGGTTCGTATCCGAAAGGAAAATCAGATCTATTCTGCCGACGAGAAGCGTGCCTTGGCAATGTTCAGCAAAGAAGAACGGCAGAAGAGGGAAAATCTTATATTGGGACAGTTTAGAGAGATGATTAATCACAAGAAAATGGTACAGGAGAAGAATTGAAGATTTTATTATAGTCTATAAAACATTAACATAAATTCTTGTGTATATACATATTGTATAATTCTAAGCTTTTGTAAATTGTAGGAAGATAATGTATATAAAAATATCAGTCTATGTACATATTTAAATAATTATCTGTTTTCTCAATTTTTCGTAAAATAGTTTTATCAACGGCAAACAATATCTAACAATATTGCCTCAAAATAAAACTATCTTTTGTTAGTGCAACAATAGAGTATCTCAAAATGCTATATGTGTGTGTGTGTGTGTGTGTGTGTGTGTTTGTGTTAAAAATCAGTGCAATAATGAAAATATTCTAATTCCACTTTTGTGTTCCACTATCATTCTTTTTTTATTTTTCCTTCTTTTCTTCTCTTCGTTTCCACTCCTCCCAACCTCCTTCAAAATTAAATACCCTGCAAAACAATATAGAGCTCTATTATAAATTTCTACTAGTGATTCTGAAAGATATTGTCATACTGTTTGTATCCCAATTCCTGTATCTGTTTTTGGACACGTTCGGATCTGTTGCCAGAGCGACAACTAAATATGATCTTTGTGTCTTTAGTCGGCTTGGGTTTACCGTATTTTTCCTCAAAATCTTCCTCCGAAAGTTCTTTGAATTCTTTAACAACATCATTCGCTATAACAGGTGTATATTTACTTATTGTTATACATATATTATTTATACGATAATTATACCATATTATGTATGACATTTGAGAAATTAATAGTGAAGTTTCAACATTTAGAAATTCAACGAAAGATTCTTACATTTTATATTAATACTTTCTGATATTTTGCCAGTTTCAGCTAATTCTTCAGGCTCTCTAACATCGACGATCAGAACATCCGACTTCTTTTGATCTTCCAATAACTGATCATATTTGATTATAAAAGTTTGTCTTTCTGGATTTTGTTTGTCGTGCCACTCCTTGAAACTTCCTTTGTATAAATATACTCTGCAAAACAGAATACAAAACTCCATTATAATAAATCCCTACTAATAAAATTCTGAAAGATATTGCATACTGTGTGTATCCTTTTTCATTCATCTTTTTTGCCGCATTCTCAGCTCTTTTACCAGAGTAGCAACTAAATATCATTTTTGTGTGTTTAACCGGTTTAGGTATCCCGTATTTTTTTTGGAACTTTTTAGCCTCAAGGTTTACGAGTTCATTAACGACATCATCCTCTGAAACAAATGTATAATTACTTACTATAATTACTTATTTATAGATTATTCTTATGTTATATTATTCTTCTAATTATACAACATTATTACTGTGTGACGTTTGAGAAATGAACAATAAACTTTCCAAAATTTATACACACAATGAAAGATTTATACCTCTTATATTAATGGTTTTTGGTATTTGGCCGTAATGCTGAATTTCTTTAGGTTCTCTAACGTCAATGAGCAGAAAATCTGGCTTCTCCTTCTCTAATTCTCGCAGTAAGTCTAAATAATAAATTGTAAATTCTTCTTTTGTTGCCATTCCGTTTTTGCACAGAACTTCAATATTCTTTTCTCGATATGATATACTCGAAGAATACAAGGTCCTTGTCACTGAAAAGAAAGTCATAGGTTACAAACACTGAGATATATTTCAAATATTTAACATAAAAATTTTCTATTTCATTAATGAATTTCAGCAATCACTTTCAAAAAAGTAATAAATAAACAAATAAAACACAAAAGGAAAAAGAATTCTGAAAAAAGATTCTGCGTTAATAATATTGGAAAAATAATGGCTTTCAAATTCGCTGGGATATTTTATAGATTTGGGGATATCCTATCTAATCAAATTAAGTTTTATCAAACAAAACCAATTAAAAAATGACCAATTTTTGTTGTGTGGCACATTTAAAAAATACTAAATACTCTTAATCCAATAAAACCGAAAAATATCTTTATTTATTACTTATTTATTATTTATTATTAAATTATTTATTTTTTAACAACTATGTCTTAATACTTTTATGCATAGATAATGAGATGAATGAATTGATATAAAGAAAATATATAGTTTCTTTTTTAATTTACATAATTCTTTCTTCAAAATTACATATTTTTTTAAAAAACATTTCACCAGGTCTACAAAATATCACACTTCCAATCGATTTGATCATTTTTATCATTAGTTGAAGTCTTTTATACAAATCAGTATTGTGATTTTTCTAAATCTCTCATTTTTATCATAGAAAAGTTACATGCGTACGATTGTCTATATTCGGACGATTAAACGTAATTTCCAAAAATTGTCGACAACTCGTCGATACGTGTCGATTTCTGCGAGAACAACTCGATAATACGAACGCTTGACACAGCTGCCGAGAAAATTTATACATAATGTTAACTTTTTGTCGCTAAGCGATTACTGTCATGATACACATAATTGTGATGATACGCATAATACTGTAAGTGCGACTCAGAGAGACATTATTAGAGCTATTGTATTATTCTATCTCCATTGTTTATCAGACGTAAAACAAGGATAGAATAATATAAATAATGCTAATAGCGTCTCCCCGAACGCACTTCGTGATACATGTAAATTGTTCATCTAGATTCTAGCTAATAGGTTTGTTTAGAAATCCTATAGTGTAACAGATTCGCAAAGTGTCACGTGATCTAGATATTTCTCTGAGTGGCTGGAATAATTCGTAGTAGCTGCCATATTGAATTTACTATCAATTCATTCAACATCGACTCCTGTCGACTGCTGTGGAATGAGCTTAATAAACTCATCCTTCAATGTTTTGTGAATATTTATCTATTATTTCACGCATTGAATGTTGCATACCTTATGTACAGAATTTACATTCCTCATCACCATGCCAATGAATTGCGCCGCATATCGCTGTTGGCATGGTGATGAGGAATGTAAATTCTGTATATAAGGTATGCAACATTCAATGCGTGAAATAATAGATAAATATTCACAAAACATTGAAGGATGAGTTTATTAAGCTCATTCCACAGCAGTCGACAGGAGTCGATGTTGAATGAATTGATAGTACATTCAATACGCAAGCTAACACTACTCCAGCCAATCAGAGAAATATCTCGATCACGTGACACTTTGTGAATCTTTGTTACACTATAGGGTCTCTATAGGTTACACTATAGGTTTGTCGCATCGCGTGCTCCAACGTGTTTCAATATACTCTTATCATAGTTCTCACTCATTCCAATGCATTCATTAGAATGAATAAGAACTATAGCAGGAGCATATTGGAGCATGTTGGAACATGCGACACGAACAAATCTAAGGCTGCGTTCGGAAACACTCACTGGTGTGTCACTAATCACACCAGCCGTTCGGAAATACTAGCTCGTGTGTACTCTGTGTGCACTAGTGTGAGATCGGAAGCGTCGAAAGAGTCACACCGAATGCCACTAAGGGTAAAATCAGACGGTGCGGAAAACGACTGCGGAATAGAGAATGCGTCATAGAAGCAACCAATCAGCATTCTTCTGCGTTATTCTGCACTTTTTCATTACGTAAGTTTTGTGTACTATGTTCACATGATGCATCAAAGATGTATCCAGCATGAATATAATTTAAAAATTACTTCATATTAATAATTTGTTTATTAAAATGAAATATAATTTTTTAAATTATAAAAACAATTATCACTAGTGTAATATTTAATGTGTTTTACAATTAATATTTACAATCTCATAACAATTTTTTGAACTGCTTTAACGCATTTACTATCATTTTTCCGTATGAATATAGCACACAAAACTGGCGTGATGGAAAAGTGCGGAAAAGAGCACACTGAAATCGTACGTAATGCATCATTGTTTTTTTATCTTGATATCTATATTTATGCACTCATTTTATTATTTTGCTTCATTCGTCTCGACATTACGCAATTCCATTATATCAATCAGCATCAAATTATTTTAATCTCTCAAAATAATGGTTTATTACAAGAACAATGACGCACTCGCTATTCCGCAACATCAAATGCGGAATAGCGCTGAGTGGTTGTTTCAATGACGCAATCCTATTCCGCACTGTATGATTTCACCCTTAGAGTGATACCATTTCATGATTGATACCCAGTGTTACAACTGCTCATTGAGCGCTCAGTGAGCTCTTACATCTAATGGCATATTCCAATGGATCCAAAAATATAAACCAAATAGATGTAAGAGCTCTCAAGAGTCATTCTGTCTTTGTTTCTTATTGTATGGCTGCGTTCAACGGACTCAACAGTTGAGTGAGCACTCATTACTATTGGTGTATTCTTTTGGATCATCCAATCAGCATTTTATCTGGGAGAATACATATCAATAGCAGCGATCGTTCACTCAACTGTTGAGTCCATTGAACGCTTCCAATTTGTATTTTTTGCTGAAAAGCTCCCATAATGGTTGTATTCCAAAATTCACTGCCAGCTGAAAATCTACAGTCTACGTTGCGTATATTATATATTTTCTTTACTAATAATGAATTTTGGAACACAGCTAATATGTGTCAAAAGAAGCAATGAAAATAAAGTTGACAAGTGTCCCGCATTAAAAACGATATGCGTTTTATGATTTATCTAGTCATTTTAGCGTCAATAAAGGTCTATTCAGATTTAAACGTAACGTTGGAAATGCCATTATATAAAATTTAAAAAAATTATGGTCGATTCATCCGCTCTCATTTCAAAACCATCTAACGCAGCATCTATAATGAAATTTTAAGCCTAAAACTTAAGCCCGTTCAAAACGCGTTTACAACGATGTTAGCACGTTGATATGCTATAATTTACGTTATCCATATTATTTCAGAGATATTAATTTATGTTATCCACATTATTTTAGAATTTTAGAAATAAAAACGTGCTTTATCGATAAAAGCGCGTTCTGAATACGTGCCAGAATGTTGGAGTGTCAGAAATATATCATACGCAAGTAATCAAGTTAAAAAAAAATCACGCGAGTAATGTAAAAATGGAATCTCTCATGAGGTATATTTAACATTTAACCGTGTAATCAATCAGAAGCGATCTGATGTTTCTTGTTTTACTGATTATTGATTGGTTAACGTGATTACGCGATACGTAGCAAATATACCTCATGGGACTCCACCCTGAGACTAATGTATTAACTTTTATCAAATTGAGCTCTAGAAGAATTTGAATAAATTATTAGGTGTACAACTTTTCTTCCGCCGTTTTCCTATAGATAGCTTTAGCGGTAAGTGGTGGTCGAAATAAATAGATCATAGACGTCATACAATAAACTTGGGCATCTGTCAACATAACTCCATAGAAACATTAGTCGATTTGTGTCTGCATCATAAAGTTATTCTCGATTGAAAATGTCAGTTTACGAGCCAAATTCTCGTCATTTGGGGGAGGTTTTAATTTTCTGCTTCAATATGAAAAAATCTGCAACTGATCGAATGCTCTCAAATACTTATGGTGAGGCCGCTATTAGTGAAAGAACGTGTCATGAGTGGTTTCAACGCTTCAAGAACGGTGATTGACATCAAAGATATCGGCATAGCGGTGGAAGGGAGAAGGTTTTCGAAGATGCAGAATTGGAGGCATTACTTGATCAAGACTCGTGTCAAAATCAAGAAGAATTGGCACGATCATTGAGAGTGACTCAACAAACCATTTCAAAACGCCTCAAGGTCATAGGAATGATTCAGAACAAGGAAGTTGGATGCCGTACGAGTTGAAGCCGAGAGTGTTGAACACTGTTGAACAGCGTTTGTTTTCTTGTGAACAGCTGCTTGAAAGGCAAAGACGGAAGGGATTTCTGCATCGCATTGTGACTGGGGATGAAAAATGGGTTCATTACGATAACCCCAAGCGTAGAAAATCATGGGGAGTTCCCATGCTTCCATGGCCAAACCGAATATTCATGGCTCCAAGGTCATGCTCTATATTTGGTGGGACCAGCTCGGTGTAGTATATTATGAGCTGTTAAAACTGAAACACAGGCGATCAGTATCGAACGCAATTGATGCGTTTGAGCCGAGCATTGAAAGACAAACGGCCGCAATACAACGAGAGACACGATAAAGTGATTTTGCAGCATGACAATGCTCGACCCAATGTTGCGAAAGTGTCAAGACATACTTGGAAACGTTGAAATGGGAAGTCCTACCCCACCCGCCGTATTCTCCAGACGTTGCTCCCTCTGACTATCACTTGTTTCGATCAATGGCACACGGCCTGACTGACCAGCATTTCCGGTCTTATGAAGAAATAAAAAATTGGATCGATTCGTGGATCGCCTCAAAAGATGACCAGTTTTTTCGACGCGGGATTCGTACGCTGCCCGAAAAATAGGAGAAAGTAGTGGCCAGCGATGGACAATACTTTGAATCATAAATGTATAACTAGTTTTTTACAATAAAGCTTCGGAAAAAAAACGGCGGAAGCAAAGTTGTACACCTAATATATTAGCAGTTCATATTAAAACACTACATCTATGTAGCATAGTATTGAAGTCTCGGTATTGTTGTTTCATTTGCAGCAACTTAGATGAGGAGGATAAAGATTTGAATAAACACAAGAATAAACACAATATTTTACCAAAGGATCGCAAGAAAAAAAGGCATGATGCTAAAAAGAAGATACTGGATTAATTATAATCAACATCTAATCAAACAATGATATTCAATCAAATACAGTGGCTGTCAAAATTTTTTCAGCCAACATATAATTTTATGACAATTTCTGACTGTCTATTTTTATAAGTTAATAAAATTCTTGTTATAAGTTAAAAGAACACCATGATTGCATTCAAGAGAAAGCAGTTTTACAACTGTTATAAAATTCTTTAATTCGATTGGTTCTTGCTTTTGGTTTCTTATAGATCCAAACATATAAGATTTGTTCGCGTCGCATATTCCAACGTTCTTCAATATGTTCCTACCATCAATATGTTCCTACTCACTCTTCTTCTTCTTCTGATTTCCCTTTGATTTTTCCGACTCAAATATAGAGTCACAGTACCATACAGAAATCGCGGATCACTAGATCCAATGAATAACTTCCTCGGAGAGCAGAGGTCTCAATTCGATTAAAATCTTGATCTTATTTTGAGATTATACTAGAGATCTTGATAGTGCTTTGAACCTTCCTAGTCACTTTAACGAGCGCCGACGATACTATTAAAAACTGTTAACTCTGAATAAATTTTCAGCGATATAAAAAGGGCCTCAAGGGCCCAGACGTAATTGAAGAACGCTTCAACATTATCGATAATTGATATAAATTTGCTATTATTAATATAAATGTTTGGCTCATACATTTTTAAATTCGTGATTTTTTTATTACATAAATGTTCCATAAATAAATATACATATTTATAAAGCTATAATAATATCCTATATGTTGCAGAAAAATTATAATTTTTTTCTCTGCAATTATTATCTCTGTTGATAATCAAACTTTGACGATAACACTGAAATCACAATTTTAAAGAAAAATCGAATATTATAGAGTTCTAAA